CCCGCCCCCCCCCCCCCCCCCCCCCCCCCCTGCGCCCAGCCCACCTCGCGCCGCAGGCCAGTGACCGTGGACACCAGTTGGTGCACGGTGGCAAAGCTCTCCAGGGCCATGAGGGAGGGCACCTGCACAGAGCCGGGAACGCAGACTCGGCCCAGGTCGTTGCGCAACAGGTCCACGATCATCAGGTTCTCCGCGCGCTCCTTGTCGGAGGCTGGAAGGGTGTTTGGAGGATGGAGGGTGACAGGTGAGGCTGGGCGGCAGGGGTCTGGCCTGCAGTCCTCCTGGATGACAGGGTCCATGCCCAGGCCCACCCCCTGACACACCTTCCAGCTCGGCGGCGGAGGCCGCGTCGGCCACGGGGTCCTTGGGGTGGCGAGGGGCGGTGCCCTTGATGGGTTTGGCCTCCAGCACCCCACCGCGATCTCCTCGCAGGAAGCGCTCGGGGGAGGAGCAGCAGATCTGTAGGGAAGACGGGGTGTGCAATGAAGAGAGCCAGTGTGAGCAAGTGTGGATTGCGTAGGTGCCCTTTTCTCGATGTAGGACCCAGGAGACATGCCGGACTGCACCTGCGCCCAAACAAGCACAGTGCCAGTGCGACTGAGCACATTGAGCCCCCCATCATGATCTCAACATCTCACCTGGGGCCCGCCGTGGGCGCCGAAGTCGAGCCAGGCCGCGTAGGGGGCCGGATTCAGGGCGCGCAGGGTACGGTAGAGGGGCCAGGCCGGGGGCGCGCCCTGCCTGGTCAGCTGCGTCGTCAGGCACAGCTCGTACGACTCGCCGTCGTGCATGGCCTGGCGGTGGTGTGGCAGGAAATGGTGTTGGAGTCACACAAGCCACAACGTGCCCTGATGAGACGGCCCAATGGCAGGCGGTCATGGCAGACGTGTGCACCTGTCTTCCTTCCAACCCAGCAGAAGTCTGCTCCTCGATTGAAAACAATCCTCCCAGCCATCATCCCAACAACAGCGCCCTCAACCTGCAGGCATGCCCGAATGTTGTCCAGATATCTCTCATGCCGCTCCCGGGGCTGGAAGTCTAGCACAGGGTCTGGGCTGGGCACGGGATCCTGTGGAGCACCGGCGGCCCCAGCGCCAGGAGTGGTCTCCCCATCCGGCTCCCCTGCCACCGCCTGCACTGCCTCTAGCATGCCTGCGACCCAGGCCTGCGCCTCATCGGCCGCCCGGCCGTCGCCCTGAATGTGGCACGCCAGCGCGTACACCTCCCCAGTGGCGCAGTCCAGCGCCAGCAGGCGGTCCGCCCAGACGAGTGAGGCGTGGGGCGGGTTTCCGGCCACATCGGCGGCCAGCCCTGCCCCCGGCCCCAGCTCGGTCCCCAACTCGTAGCCTATGTAACCCACCCAGCCGCCCCAGAAGTCAAAGGGCAGGTCGGCGGCGGCGACCGCCGCCGCCGGGCAGAGACGTCGCGCCTGCACGTCCTCGTCCAACCAATCCCAGAAGCCGCCGGGCAGGCGATGGGTTGTCGTGGATGCAGAGGCACCCCCTTCTCCGCTCAACCCCTCCTCCAGCACACCATCACCCAGGTAGGAGGCCGTGCGCCAGAGCGCGCCACCCTTGCCAGAGCCCATGAAGGACCAGCGGCCGCCGCGGTCGGTCACCGCGCTGTCCAGCCACCAGGCGTGCGGCGCGGGGCGGAAGAGGCGCTCAAACACGCGTGGCGCGGCGCCGAGAGAGCTCGGCAGCGCGCCCTTCCCTAACCTGGCATGCACCAGGCCGAGGTCGATCCTGGCGCTGAGCGGAGTGCCAAGGACCGGGCCGCATGAGTCGTCGGTGCATGGGTAGGGACGCGGGATTGGAGCCGTTCCTGGCGGGCCTGCGCGCAAGCGACGTGCAGAATCTTCAGTGATACACAGTGAAGATCGTGCGCCGCAGCATGGCACACGATCCGCATGCCTCATTCAAGCTGAGGCGCAGGCAGGGCACCGCGGCATGATAGCAGCACAAGCATACACTTCAACAGGCATACGCTGCCCGGCAACTCTGGTCCACCTTGTGGCAGCAGGCCCTCGGGAAGGGTGAGCGCCGGGGCGCCGTGAAACTCGTGCGCCAGGGTCAGGAAGTTGCGGAGCAGGGCCGGGCCCCACCGCGTGGCCACGCTCTCCGGGTGGAATTGGACGCCGTGGTAGGGCAGGGTGGCGTGGGAGATGGCCATCACCGCCTCGTCGGGGGGCGCCAGCGCCCAGGCGGTGGCGTGAAGGCAGGCCGGCAGGCTGGCCTGGGGCACCTCCAGGGAGTGGTACCGCACCACCTGCCACTTAGGGCCTGCTCTCAAAGATGTGGGGGGGTGGGATATGAGGGGTGTGCATGGGGAATAGGTGGTGGGGCTGGCAGCTGGGGTGCATGCCGCAGTGACTCATAGCAGTTTCCAGCAGGGCCTGCTCTGGTGGAATGGTCACGGGTCCCCCCGCGATGGTGCAGCTCGCTGTGAGGCGAGGCAGCGCCGCATCCGTATGCAATAAAGTCAGAGCAGGATGCGGCATCCTTGTCCCGCCTGCTCACCCGAGGGGATGCCGTGGAAGAGGGCGTGCCCACTGTGCCTGACCCCGCTCAGGCGGCCATGCATGGGCCCGCAGGCAGCATGTCGCACCTCGGCCCCAAAGGCGAGTGCCAGGGCCTGCATGCCCAGGCACACCCCCAGCACTGGGATGGGGGTGCGCTCCCGCAGGAGGTGCATGCTCACGCCGATGTCGCTGGGCCTGGCTGGCGTGCCCGGGCCGGGCGACAGCACCACCGCCTGGTACAGCCCCCGCTCCAGATCCCTGCGCAGCTCTGGCCACTCCACTTCATCGTTTCTGATCACCTTTGGAGGGGCTGCAGGGAGCGGGGGGTGTAAGGCACACTAATAGAGATGGATGGGTTTGTGGAGTGACTCGGGCTCACGGGCGTGCCCTGCAGCCCGAGTGACCGAAGAGAATGCACCATTCCTCAGACCCACCTCCGTACACCTCGGCGATGCCCTGATACAGATTATATGTGTATGAGTCATAGTTGTCAATGAGCAATGTGCGCAGGGGATTGATGGCAGGATCCATGGTCAGGACAGCGTCTACGACCAGGGGCGGACGATAGTGGACAATGGAGTGCAGGGGTGGGTCTCACTCGCACATCACATATTGATCTCGCAGCCCCCAATGTGGGGTCGAATGGCGCTTGGGCAAATGCAGATCGGCACATCGCCAGTCGCGTGCCTTTGCCATTGCGCCGCGCGGTGCGGAAATGTGAGGCGCGAGCGCGGTGGCGTTTTTAAGTCCGGAACTTCAAGTCTCGAGCCATCGCGACCACAGGGCTTCAGTGTGCATCGCTTGCGAGTGCTCCGTCAGGTCACTCCACCTTTGTCGCGATTCATACCATCGGCCTCCCTGCATGGTATGATACGGCTCGCACCCTTGCCGACACGCGCTTCAACCTTATGTCGATTCTTTGTTCCGAGACAGGCGCGCACCAGGACAGCGTGCGCTGCTGAGGCGGATCCCTTCAACCAGCTGTTCCAGAAGAGAAAACCTACGGGCTTACGGCCCAGTTACTGGCTGAACAGCCAGGATTCCATCCAGTCCCAGCTGAAGGCAAGCAGTGTTGGCCTGTGGGTGCCCTGCCCTATGCGCTGCGATTCACACCTCCCAGGCACTGCTGTGTGTTTTGCATGGTGGCCATAAGACAATGACTGACCCTTGTCCTCCAAACTCTTTCTCCAGGCCTTGGCTGCAAATAACAAGCCCTACCTGGACCATGGCATCGAGGTTGCCTACCGCTTTGCTGGATTTGACCCCTTCGCTCGCAGCCAGTATTTCGGCATCAGCCTCGACTTGGGGCAGTTTGAGAGGTACCGCAGGATATTCTACACTCCTCTGTACAGGGTGAGGTTGAGGGCGTGTGGAGTCTGCTGCTGCAATCCCTGCATCAGCTCACATCAGCACTGACCTGGCATTAAGAATATCAGAGAGGCCTGGACCTTGACCTTGTAGCACTGTTTCCTTCACTGTCCTCTCAAAAAACGGCAACATGAATTCCCATTCTGTCCCCCCCTCAGCCACTGCTGGGTCACACCTCTGTCGAGATTCTAAGTCAGCTTGAGGTGGACGATGTTTCCCTGGTTACTCGTGTCTTGGTCACTAATTCTTTCCGGAGGGAGGAACAGGTGTATGAGGTATGTGGGCCTGGGGCGGCAACCCGAGGGTCTATGGCTGTGTGGGAATCAATCCTCCTGAAGGAACAGATGCAAACCAAACTTCCCTCATGCAGTTGAGCCTGAGACGTCGAGTGGGTGGCAGATTCGATGGAGCCTGGTTCACTGAGTCACTGATCGCCGAGGGTTCCAGCAGGCAGACGCTGTATGGCGTGATCTGAAGGCATCTCAAGGCGGGGCGCAGACAGGTGGGGTACTTGCAGAGTGGCAGACGGTGAGAATGTGTGGCAATCCCCACACCGTCTGTACAGTGGCCCTGGTCCCTCATCTGAATGCCTCAAAACCTCCAATGCAGTGTCCTCAGCAGCAAGGGTATACCAGCATGCTGGCAGCCTGGGGCGTTGGTCTCGCAATCATGTCATGTTTTACTGTGTGAATGCTCGAATAATGTACCCTGTACACGTACTGGATCCTCCAAGCTGTAAGATACAATGCCGTCGTCACTGCCTCGACTGGTAGAACTGGAGTCATAGGAAGATGAAGGGCGCGCGGTCGGTACCACCCCTGAAGGGCGCGACATTGTCGACGGATCAGTCCCACGCACAGCTTCGCCTGCCCTTCACTGGCCTCCAGCACCCATTTGAGATCGGAATAGTGATGCCAAGAATGCCCAGCTGTCTCCCGGGAGCCCGCCCGGGGCAAGCTGGCACGTCGACAGCTGTATCTGAGCAGTCGTGGAGGCAGCCATGAGATCGCGACGGAACCTACCTCTCAGTTAGGGCCAGCCTCTTCCAATGCCGGTCCCAGTCATTGTGGTGGCCGGCACGGCCAGCGGGGTGGGCAAGACCTCGGTGGCCACGGGCCTCATGGCAGCCCTGAGGTGGGTTGCGCCAGGGGAGCTTTGAGACACCCGGGGGCCTGCCTGTCGCGGTGTGCAATCCCAAATCGTACTCATGTATCACATATCCGCACTGCAGGGCCAAGGGGCTGCGTGTGCAGGCCTTCAAAGTCGGTCCAGGTGCGACTGCTCTGGCCTGTGCAGCGGGGGGGGCAGCGGGGCAGACATTCCTCTTCCTGGGCCCAGGCTTGCAGGATTCCAGCACTTCAGTTGCACGCCCTTGTGGGCATGGATGAAGTCGGCACACCAGTCCCGCCCCTCGCCGGACCCGCCCGCGCAGCGCCCTCGTCCTCGTCAATCACACCATACGCTCACCACGATACCTCCTTCTTCCCGAATCCCAACCAGATTTCCTGGACCCCATGTACCACGAGCTGGCCACGGGGTCCCCCTCTTTAAACCTGGACGGGTGGATGCTGACGCGCGAGGCGGTGTGCGCCACCTTCGCCCGCGGCGCCGCGCGCGCCGATATCGCGGTGGTGGAGGGTGTGATGGGCCTCTTCGACGGCCTGGACGGCGCCACCGAGGCCGGCTCCACTGCGCAGTTGGCCAAGTGGCTGCGCGCGCCCGTCCTCCTGGTCCTGGACTGCTCCGCCGCCGCGCGGTCGCTGGCCGCCACCGTCCGCGGCTTCCGCGACTTTGACCCCGGTGTCGACCTGGCCGGCCTGGTGCTCAACCGCGTGGCCGGTGCCGCGCACGCGCGCTGGCTGCGCGATGCGCTGGCCGCCGGCGGCCTGGCCGAGCTGGCGGTGCTGGGGGGGCTGCCCAGCGTGCCCAGCGTGGCGCTCCCCGAGCGCAACCTGGGCCTGCAGGTGCCGGGGGAGGACCCGGGCGGCGCGGCCGCGGCGGTGGAGGCGCTGGGCGCGCTCATGGCCTCCCATCTCGACCTGGATGCGCTGGTGGATCTGGCGGCACGGGCGGGGTCCGGGAAGGACGGCCCGGCGCGCGCGCTCATCGGCCCGCCGCCCGCCCCCCCGCTCCCCTACCGCCTGTCGGAGGAGGAGCGGGAGGCGCCGGTGCGAATCGCCGTGGCGCGGGACGAGGCCTTCTGCTTCTACTACCACGAGAACCTGGCGCTGCTGGAGGCGGCGGGGGCGGAGCTGGTCTACTTTTCGGCCCTGCACGAGCCCCTGCCAGGGGGAGTGGCGGGAGTCTACCTGGGCGGCGGCTACCCTGAGCTGTGAGTGATGCAGGGTGCGGGGGGGTGGAGGGGAGGACTGTGGAGTCGAGGCCCAGGAACGCACTCAGGTAGGAGCGGAGGCACATACGTCTGGAGACTGTGCCTCTGTGAAGTGATTGATCGCACACCTTCTCCAACCCTCCATCTGGCCTCCAAACAAACTGCAGGCACGCCCAGGAGCTGTCCAAGAACACGGCCCTGCGCGCCGGGCTCAAGGCGTTCAGCGCGGCTGGCGGTGTAATCTACGCCGAGTGCGGGGGGCTCATCTTCCTCTCGCGGGCGGTGCAGCCTGAGGAACACGGCGGTGACTTTCCCATGGGTGCGCTGAGGTTATGTGTGTCTTTGGGTGTGTTTGGGGGTTTGGGGGATTATTGTCACAGTGCTGCTTGTGGTCAAGGCATATCTATACTGGGAGGAAAAGTTGGCAAGACTATCTGCCCTTTGGACTGTGCATCCCCATCACTGGGATTTTAAACCCACTGTACAATGCGCGACCCCCGCCTCCTCCTGAACAACCTCAAATGCAACACCGCAGTGGGCGTGTTTGGGTTCAAGACGGTGCTCACCCACCGCATGACCATGGGGTACGTGGAGGTGGAAACAACAAAGAACAGCGTGCTGATGGCGCCGGGGCGCACCGCGCGGGGGCAGGTCTTCCACTACACCGAGATCGTCGAGGTGTGTGTGGTCTAGGCTTTCAGGCAGACATGTGACAGGCCGGCAGAGGGGCGACAGGGCTGATCGGGATGCCTCGTTACCTCGGGGTGTATGATGATGCGGTAGCTGTACTTTTAGGCCATGCCCTACACATTTCTCTAGTGAGCCAAAGCGCGTAAGCACCTCCTTCGCCCCACTCCTTGCCCCTCGTTGGCCCACCTCCATGTACCTCCCCGCCCATGCAGGAGCATGTGGTTGCCAGTGTCGCCCAGCACAAGGGCGACGCCGGGGCGGCCTGGGTGTCCACTTACACCGCACGCCCCCAGTTCCCCGGCGCCGAGGAGGTGGTGGAGGGGTTTAGCGTGCGCAATACCCTGGCCTCCTACATCCACCTCCACTTTGGCTCCTGCCCCGAGCTCGCATCGGACCTTGTGGCGGCTTGCCGCGCGGCCGACGTCGCGACCCTGCACGCCGCGGCCGTGGGCGCGGCGCGCGCCGCGCTCGCGGCGGCCACCATGCCCGCAGTGCCGTCGAGGGTGAGGCGGCGGTATTATTGGGGGGGGGAGGAAGGGGGGGTGGGATGGGAAGGGGGCGGGTGCCTCTTCAGCTGATTCTTCCATGCTCTTGGATTCTTCAACCTAGTGATTGTATCCTCACACTGTACACACACTCCAGACCTGCCATCACCTGCCCCTGCAGGGCTCCATGTATGGCGTGCGCTCCTCCAACGACCTGATGGGCATGGGGGATGACAGGCGGCAGATGTCGTACGAGATCCCTGCGGGCATGATGCCGCATGTGGGCCACTCTGATTTGGCAGAAGGTGGGCCTGCCAGGCCTTGTGGGCAGTGGACCTTGCAGTGTGCTGACTGGCGCCACCAGGGCATGCGGGGAGGGAGATCACCCTGGCCATGTAGAGGAAGTGCTTGGGCACACACAGCGTCAGGCCCTGCCGTTCCCCGCCCCTATCCCGGCCCCCCTCGCCCTCAACCCCTCCACCTCCCACCGCCCTCGACCCCGTCACAGGCCGCGCGGCATCCATCACGCCGCCGCCCGTGGGGCGCACCATCACGATATATCCCGCCGCCGGCATCCCGCGCGCGGCCAGCTCGACGGGCTTGGACCACAACGAGTGCTTCGCGGGGCAGACGCCGCCCACGCTGTCCCCGCGCGATCCCGGGTCCCTGGACCTCCAGCCGCAGCGGGGCGCCGCGCCGGGGCGGGCGGGTGCCGGATGGGCGCGGGGCGGCGCCGCGGCGCCGCGGGGCGGCCAGCACAGCGCCTCGGCGGCCTCGCTGCTGGCCGCCGGCCCCGGCCAGGGCCAGGGCGGCATGAGCCGCAGCGCCTCCCACGCCGCGCTGCTCAGCCGCTCGCCCAGCCAGCCGGCGCTGGGCCTGGTCCTGCCCCCCTGGCCGGCCGGCGGGCGGGGCGGGGCCGGCCGCGCCGCACGCGCGGCGCGGCAGCGAGGATGCTGGCGGCCCCGGCCGCGCCACACCCGGCGCAACGCCCACGGCCCGCAGCTCCATGGCCGGCGGCTTGTCCGAGGCCGGCGGCGCGCTGACCTGGCAGCCCAACGACCGCATCGTCAGCCTGGGTCCGGGGGCCAGCGAGGTACTGTGGGCGCTGGGCCTGGGCGCGCGCGTGGTGGCCGTGTCGGACGCCTGCGACTGGCCGGCCGAGGCGGCCGGCCGCCCGCGCGCCGCGCGGCGTCTGGCCACGGGCGCGCGCGCGGCGGCGCGGCGCGGGGACGTCGAG